AGGGTAAGTGTCCTGTCTCGAAATACAACTAACTAGAACCCTAGGTACGAAGGAGGGAAGCCAGGTTGTGACACTTAGTAGGTAGTTAGTTGGCTTTTGAAAAAGTTTGTTCAGAGTATGATCTTTACAATAGTAAAGTAGTTACCCAGTGGTTGTTAAGCAGTTATCAAGCAGTTTATTTTTTATTTATTTTTTTTTTAACTTTATGGTTGGGACCGCAATATATATTTTCGCCCCGTATGAATAGTGTTATTATGTGGTACATACATTCTCTGCCAGAAAACAAATTTATCAACTTAATACGGAAATATTTATTACTCCTGCCCTGCATAAATAACATATATATATCAAAATATGTCCGATTTCATCCTGGAGGCCAGCCAACAAGTAGTTTTTAAAGCAGTTGCTAAGCAGTCGCCAAGTGGTTGTGAGCTTATAAATCTCGTAAGCCGGAAGCTCTAGTTAACTGGCGGCGGTACTAACAATACCACTTCTGAACAAGCCAGTAAGTGATTGGAATGTGACAATGCGGTTGAAAACTGTATAATAGACATATAATCATCCTAGAAGTGGTTTAAGTTCAATAAGACTTACATTATTCGACATGGCAGCCATCTTAAAGAGATTAGTGGTTGGTAAGTACTGTGAAAGAAGTCAATTGGGTTGAAAGGTATTACACGCTAGGACGTGGGTCACATGACTACCAAGACGCTAAATGCCCCACTTTGGCACAACCGACCAAAATATTGACCTCAGCCGACCTGATCTCTCATGCCACATCGCGACTCTTGTCATGCGTTGTGTTATGCATGGTGTCCTAACAGCGGGCCATCCACTAGCTCTTTGAAGACAGGCTTACCGCTAGCTATGCAGGACGATATTGCTGAATTACGACGTCAACTGGAGGAAGAGAGACGGGCCAGAGAAGAGGCAGAACGGCGCCAGGAAGAGGCAGAACGGCTCCAGGAAGAGGCAGAACGGCTCCAGGAAGAGGCAGAACGGCGCCAGGAAGAGGCAGAACAACGACTGCAACCCAACTCTCTATTTCGCCTTCTCGATCGCTGCCACGAATCTCTATCACAGACGATCCGAGTCGAGACGAACGCGACCCTGACGACCCAAGGCAACGTGACTGACCCCGTCAATCGACTTTTTCCCAAGCGGATTGTTCCATGGCTTGATTTCCCTCAGATCCAGGAGCAAATCTGGAAGAAACTCGAGCGTGCAGTCGGCTTTACCTCACGTCCGCTCTTTCCTTCCGATACCCAGCTAGACTATGTCGCAACAAATGTCCAAGACCGACCGATTTACTCAGAAGCGACTTTACGAAATTTCGAGCGAGACACTGTGGATAACTTTGTTGAAAAG